CTTTGCGGTTGTCTCAGGGCTTAGAATTAATCTATGTAAGTCTGAGATTGTCTTCTTTGAGGAAGCTGTTGATGTTGATGAGCTGCCAAGATTTTAGGATGTAAAATGGCTTCCATTTCCCTCGAGTATCTCAGCCTACCTATAGATTTGAAGCCGATTGGTGAGTTGTTGATGAGCATCAGAATCCCCCTTGTAGCACTCAAAGCCAATTGATCACGCCAATCCCTTGCCCCAAACCAATGCCTTGCCCCCCAATCTTTTGGCCACACTGTCATACATGCTCCAGATTGTTTCTTGTGGACAAGTAACCTCACCACCCCATTTCTGCAAAGTCCCTTTTAATGACTGCTCTATGTCCATAGCATTAATTTCCCACCGATTTTACAATTGGAAACAATAGAATTCAAAACTTTGGCACAAGCTGAGTCCCCCTCAAAACTCTCTCATTTCTTATAGTTGACAGAGCATTTAATTGCTCTTAGTCGGCAATTTCTACAATTTATTCCCTTCCTAGGAGTGGGGATCCACTGCTCCTGTCGTTCTTGATTTGCTTTTCTTCAACTTTGAGCAACTCCATCACCTTTTCCTTAAAGCCTTCAAACTGCACCCTGATGGCTTGCTTTCTTCACCATTCTGAAGGTCGTTGAGTTTCCACACACAAAGGGACAATGTAGGCTGGGTTTTTGGAAACTATTTCTCCACTAACCTAATGTGATATATGTGCATTTATCACAGCTTGTGTTTCTCCATTTTGGTAGGCCCATCAGATCACTCAAAAAACCAACCCAGAAAAAAGAAGCAACAGATTGGGGTCCATTTAGGTGGTTGGGGGAGGAGTCTGCAAATGGATGATGGCAATATAGAACTTCAGGAAGAGCCTCATTCTCATAGGAACTGCCCAAGGGAGATTTGCAACTGCTTGAATCTCCAAACTGGAAACAGCTCCAAACTGGAATCTCCAGGCACCTTTTAAGGGACAATCAATCATCAGATGAAGAAGTCTGTGAACAAGAGCCCATTCGCTGAGAGAGATCCTCTTCTTGCTAGCTAAATTGGACTATCCAGAGTCTTTTAACACTGGATTCTCAGCCCTTTTGAAGAGCCCAGACCCATCACCCTATTGCTTCTTATTAGCTAAGAATTTAGCAGTGGAGGTTTTGCAAGTGTCAGTTAAGACATTTAGAAGCCAAACTGACTACTTGGAATAACAGGCTGGGTCTGAGGCCCACTGCAGTGGCGCTTCTTTTCAGACCCAACTTTCCTCTTCTGACCATTTTGAATCTTGAAACTCGATTGAGGCATATATTTTGTATCAGGCACAACGAGTGACAGGTCTTCAGCATAAGAAATAAAGATTGTTGCAGCCTTGGAAAGAAGTTCCAACTCCATGATGAAGGCAGCTTCATAGGCTGGGCAAGCTGCACTATATCTATTATTATTATTTTTTGAAATAAAAAGTGTAATGAATGTATTGATATGGTACCAAAATCAGGAGTACCGCCCGTGTACAAAAATATTTACAGCGAAATTAGCATGTTAATGACAATCCCAAAATGCACATCACTATTAATATCATGACCTAACAATACTGACCCAAAAGTATGTAACCACCTATCTTTTAATCTATTTAAACTACTCTGAACACTATCAAAAGCTCTCCTATTTCTCTCTTTCCAAATGATCCAGAAGACAGTTAATGGGATAATGTTAACAAAGCTTCTTTTTACATGTAGACCCTTCCAAGCCCAAACTTCCTCCAAAGTCTATATTTATTATGTTGTTCATGACTACTTCTCCTATTTCTCTCTTTCCAAATGACCCAGAAGACAGTTAATGGGATAATGTTAACAAAGCTTCTTTTTACATGTAGACCCTCCCAAGCCCAAACTTCCTCCAAAGTGTATGTTGTTCATGACTACTTCTCCAAAGTCTTAGGAGAAGAGGGCCTTGGCTAAGAAATCACTGAAGGCAGCCATTATTTCCAATATACCTTTGCAAAGGTGAAGATGACAGACCTGATCCCCAACAAGAAGCAAATTCAATCACCTTCTGTGCCCTATGGAAAAAGGATTCTTCTTCTACATCCTGAGTTCTCTTCCATTAAAGTAGTTACCCCTAGACCTCCCGGCCATCCCCTTGAAGATTACCCTGCTAGGGCATAGGTCCCTTCAATCATTAGGTCCCTGCCATCCCCATGAAAAATAAAAAAGATTCTAGGTTGAAAAGGTAGAGAGAGAAGCAAAAATCTTACCCATTTTCTGTTGTCTTGAGGATATTGTCAGATTCCTCTTTATGGATGACACTGAAAGACTTCTTCTCAATTACTAACAGTTTCCAAGAGAGAGGAACAGAAAATTAGCCAACTGAAGAAGAGAAGCCTTCTAGGCCAGGACTTTCTCTCTCTAGGGAGAGAGAGAGAGGGGAAAGAAGATTATATGTATCTATGTATGTATATATGGAAAATCTTCTTAATCTCAGCAACTAAACATTTCTTTTTGTTTTTCAAGCATAAAATAAAATTGTGTTAGGTAGGGAAATATGCATCTTTAAATGCTCTTGACTCCTTTATCTTTTCCAGGTCTGGGATCACATAAGTGGAAAGCTCAAGAAGGATCTTCAGTACCAGGCTGATGTGAGTAATTTATCCATTTTGTTTAAAGTTATTATTTCCTTGATTGATCACCTTGTTAGATACTAAAAGGGCTGAGAAAACTGATAATATTCTTGTATATTTTGGTGGTTAAGTTAATTGGAATTCTTGTTGATAACATGATATTATCTCACTTTACCTGACGGATGTGGGCTTTGGGGTCTACATTTTGTTTTTAACCAGAATCCTTATTATTCATATCATTAACAACCTACAGAATCAACCACATTACTTGTAATCTGTAATAATATTACAATATATGAAGGAATTCCAAGTAAGACATGACATAACCGAATCTAAAATTTCTTCAATGGCCAAACGTTATGGAGAAGACTGCAAGGTTTAAGCAAAATGGTGTTTAAGGCTGGCTGAGACAAGCTGGCAAGAATGAGAGAATTGTTACTTTGTGTGAGCATAGTGCAATGCATCAATGTTCTTTTGAGTAATTGCATCTTTGTTGTAACAGTCAGCAATAATTGCTGCTTCATGTAGATGTAAGCAACTACATCATGCATGAGTCTACTGATGTGGTTCGTAACAGCATATCTGTAAATTCAACTGCAAAGATCCTTCAGCGAATATTGTCCATGCAGATAATTTTTTGAAAGCAATTGCCTCTTACGATGCTGATGCCAATTCTTTTTTGTTACATAGAGAAGTTAGTTATATATTTGGGCACCTAATATGCAAAATTTGATCTCCATCTATTCATTAGAAATATTTTGGTGCTGCAATTTTGGTTGTCAAAATCTTGGATAGGATGTGAAGTTGCAAGAGGAAGAAAATAAATAATGCAAAGACAGTTAAGCAATTTCTGTTAACTGAGGACATGTCTGGCGTGACTTAATTCTAAGTAAAGCAGGCGTCTTTTATTTTGTGTGATTATTGACATACTGCGGAATTTTACAGGACATTTTCATGATGCATGATGATCCTGTCCTTTGTGTTGATTTTAGCAGAGATTCAGAAATGCTTGCATCTGGGTCACAGGATGGGAAGATCAAGGTAAATGTTAGCTGCATGTGCTAGGACTAATATTCTAATTTTATATGGTTGAATAATTTAGTATCTGCTCGTTGTTATCATCCCTTAATTATAATATTTAATTAAGATATTGATGTGGCCTCCTTTGGCCTGTATATAGTGCTGGGTAATAAAAATTAGTTAAGGAATGTGTTTGGAGGAACATGAGAACCCTATTTATGAGACAACATCCAATGAATTCTGGTCTCTTCAGGACAGTTTAAAAAATCTGCCTATCCATGTATTTTTCTTGTTGCAGTATGCATGTAAATTTCTGATTTTTTTACTATAACTTGAATGCTTTTTTTTAGTCCCTGGTTGAATGCATTTGCTATTGACCTGTCAAAAATTTTGTCTCCTCTTAGTTTTAGTTTTCTTAAGCTGGAATTTTGCTTGATGTAATCGAAAATTTTCAGTTATTTTTGTTAAATATTATTAAATTTAACCTGTATGCTTGACAAATAATAATGGTGTAGGAAGCCTCTAAATTCTGATACTGTTCTCAGGTTTGGCGGGTAAGAACTGGTCAATGCTTGCGTCGTCTGGAGCGTGCTCATTCTCAAGGTGTCACGAGTCTTGCCTTTTCTCGGGATGGAAGCCAGTTACTAAGTACATCCTTTGACAGCACTGCAAGGTTTCATTGAGTTCATTGTCATTTGTTGTAGCATATTTTCCGTAATCTGACACAGCCATGGTTCTCCTGTCACTGTTGCCCTTATCTGTTGTTTTGCTTTATCTTTGGCTTATTGCATAATTTGGTTAACAAAATGAATTCTTCACACCACCAAAAATATATTTGCCAATTAGTGCCTGCTAACAGCTTGAACGAGATGACATTTGAAGTTTGGTAAGATTTTTATTTTCTAACTTATTTTTGGTGCAGAATCCATGGATTAAAATCTGGGAAGTTGTTAAAGGAATTTCGTGGCCACACATCTTATGTTAATGATGCCATCTTTACAAGTGATGGAAGTCGTATTATTACTGCTTCCAGTGATTGCACTGTGAAGGTTAGTGACATAGACTTTTTGATTCTTCACCGTCTGTTTGTTTCTTATCTCCACTAGTCACTTAATTTTTTTTTTCAATCATTATGTGTGAGATACATTTTCGTTTCCTGTATGATAGGTCTGGGATGTGAAGACCACAGACTGTCTACAGACTTTCAAGCCGCCTCCTCCTTTGCGAGTATCTTCTTCTTACATGGAAATTTTATCTCATTTGTTCTGCATTAAATCTTCTTTATTCATAACTAATTGCTATTATTCTTTTCAACGTAAATCTTTGATCATTAGGGAGGTGATGCTTCAGTCAACTCTGTTCATCTTTTCCCGAAGAACACTGATCATATCATTGTATGTAACAAGACATCATCGATATATGTAATGACACTTCAAGGACAGGTATATATCTCCCGTGTCCATGATTTATTATCCTCTATTAGTCTATCATTCTGTTATATTTCTAGAGCACTGTTTTCTAAATTTGAGAAGGAAAAGACAAAACAAACACCTGAGGTCTTGAGTACTGTCAAGTCTATTTTACGTATATCATACATTAATTAGTTTGTGGCCCACTAGTATGACACCTATTATCCTTCCAGAAGTATACCTTTGTTAAATATGTACCAGTTTCGCTTGGTATATTAATTGATTTGTATCTCTGGTTTGAATTTGTTTGAACCTTTTTTTCCCATTACAAGAAAAGTTTTCTTTCCTCTTTTGCTGTTATATGCAAGCTAGAAACCAGACTTCATATCATGTGGGCGCAAGACATGATACTAGATTCTTGTGCATATTTTGTTTGGACTTCTTAGAAGAATTGGAACTAAAATCTTCCAAAATCAAAGTTATCCTTGACACCTTTGGACAGGGAAGTGATGTGGGATTGGCTAGGGTTTTTGATGTGTCAGAATACATATGTTTTCTAGCCCATATAAGGGCCACATTTAGTGCTTGTGGGTTAAAGATCTTAAAAGAACCAATAACTGACACTTTTGAGTGATGAATCAGACATGTGTTTGGCTTGTGGTTTTGCAAATAATATCAGAACTGACACTGGACCCACAATCATGTTGGATGTACAAGTTCTGTTTAGATTGATTCTGATTTTATGTTTGGTTCTATTTGTTTGAGATTGCAATGACATTGAGCCATTTAGCAAGAAGACTTTGTCACATGCATCTGATATTGGCAGTGCTATGAGGAAATTATCTATTTGTAGTTTAAAGATCTCCAATGCAAGGTAGTACTCTTGAGGATATGTCAAATGTTAGTGGACTTGTGCTTTTACATGTTTATCATTCAATTTGGACCAGAAAACCAAAAATTTTGGTCTGGTCCAGTCTTTGATCTAGACTGAAAAATTGAATTGAATTTTTTAAAAGTGTAAGTTATGGACTATAATATTATGAAAGTCCTAGATTTTGATGATTCTGAATATAAACAATTATGGTTGTGTTTATATTGTTGAATTTATTTTGGATTAACGTAAATTAGAATTGGATGAATAATCAAAATGGATTTAATTTGAGTATAGTTTGAGAGAATAGTAATTATAAATGTAATGTAAAAGTAATTATGGTTTTATTATTTGATTGAGATAATTGTAATATATATATTAATGTGGATGATTGATTTTATGAATTTATTAATAAATAAATTATATATATTAATTTGGTTAAATTTTAACTGGATTCAGTCTAATTCGGTACAAACCAGACTGAACTGATTGAAAAGGGTCTGATCCGGACCGAAATTAATATGGTCTGTTTTCCGGTTTGGTTTGTATCCAAAGTAAATGTTATATTCTGGTCCCATCTGGTTTTAGACCAATGAATACCCTGCCATTAAATTCCATTCTGTTCTTAATGTGCTGCCTGATCACCTTGGTACAGGTTGTGAAGAGCTTCTCATCTGGTAAAAGAGAAGAAGGAGACTTTGTTGCAGCTTGTATATCTCCGAAAGGCGAATGGATATATTGTGTTGGTGAAGACAGGTATTAATACTTCATTTTCTGATGAAATTTCCTTTTATGCATTCTCATGCTACTGGCAGAGACTTTCTTTTCATTCATAAATAATAAGAATTAAATCTTGAGACAACTGGACATCATACTTTTTGCACTTGAACTGAAGCCCAGCTTCAACAGTTTATACTTGTATGGTTATAATTTTTTTCTTTTTACTGAGAGTATAAGGTAAAATAGTATTTATAAGGCATATAGGTGGTGCAATCAATATACAAATATCTTTACTAATCTATCAGGAAGTTCCAAAGTCCAAGTACTCAGAAGTATAAAGAGGATGACATTTAGTTACAAAATCCAATGTTTATAACCTTATTTCCTTAAATCTATCAAAAGTTATTCCTATGCGTTGAAAGTCCTTTATTTCTTTCCTTCCAAATCATCCATAAGGTAGTCAAGGAGGCAAGACATAAAGTCTGGTTGTAACACTTATTCCCCACATGCCTCTCCATGCCCATAACTCCTCTTTGTCAAAACCAACCATCAACATTTCATCCTCAAAGGACCATAAACCATCATCCATAGCCAGTAAGAGAGAAGATACTGAAGGAGAAGATGATTGCTTGACTCTGTCTCTTGCAAAAAATAGCACCTTTTCATTTTTTCCTTTTAATCAGATTGTCTATGATCACGTACTACCCTTGCCGCACTCAATGTAAAAGAGTCACTCTAGAGGTGTTAATCTCCAATATATGTTTTTGATGTGAACTTCCCACTAATTATATTATACTTCGCCGAATGAAAGTAAGAATTTTACCCAATAGGTCCATTTGACCGGCTCGTTCAAGACCTCATGTGTCTTGCACACTTGGAAAGAAAATGAAATAAATTAGCATGTTCATTAACCTCTCAATTTTCGGTATTCCTAATCAGGTCCATTGTGCAAATACCATTACTGAAAGCACAGGAGAAAAATACGCCAGCATTACCTCGTTATTGTCAGCTAAGTAATTAATTGTGGAAAAACTTTGCTCAGTTTTCCTGCCTTCACTCCATTCATCCAGCCAAAACCTCACCCCCTAACTCGACCCAGATTTTCCATCTAATGCAACCATGAAATTCTTCTTTCCTGTAGGAATTTTTCTTCCAGAGCTCCACACTACATCTAGAATAGACCACAATACCCGTTCCAAATTTTGTTTCGATCACTCTGGCCCAAAAATCGCCATCGTCCTTCACGAATTTCCAAGGCCACTTGCTAAGAAGAGGTTTGTTAAAATCAACCACCAACCTGATCCCAAGACCACTCTTCTGGAGAAAACGTTTAAGCACATTGTAGGCTACTAAGTGAAATCTCCTTTTGTCAGCAGAATCTCCCAGCAGGAAACAACGTAAATAGATTTCAGCTTTTTCACCCCACTGAACAAAAGGATCAGCAACGACAGATAGTATATTGGTAAATTAGCAAAACTACTATCAAATTAATCTCCCTCCTTTTGAGCAAAACTAATTTTCCACTTCACGAATCTATATTCAGATTAGGTTCTAATCCCATACAAGGACATCTTTGAACTTAGATCCAAGGGGCGATTCCAGATACTTCAAGGGTAAGCTAGAACTTCACCCAAAATTCTCGCTAGAGTAGCCGAGTCCCGCCCATCCCCAATTGAGACTGGCTTTTTGCTTTGCCAAATTAATCTTGAGACTGGATACAGCTTGTTATATTTTTTTTAAAAGCCACTGGATACAGCTTGGAAACACCAAAACACATCTAATGTTTGCTTGACGATTAGATTTGCGGAACAACAAAGTTTAATCAGCAAATAATGAGTCACCTCCGCTGCATCCTCCCGCTTCCTAAGCATTAACCCCTGAATGATTGATCATCTCTTCCTCTGATAATCAGTATGTTAAGGGCCTCCATCACAATTGTAAAAAGCAACGGAGAAAGAGGAAGTAATGCAAAAGAAGAGGAAGTAATGCAAATACTCATGTATGCGCACCCTTTGTCACCAAAACCAATCACTGTAGGATGTAAAATAGGAAATTCCAAGAAACATGATCGTAAGCCTCCTCCATATCAAGCTTATAAATTCTCCTTGTGCCACCTCTTCTTAGTAAGCTATTCACCACTTTGTTCCAAATTAAAGTAGCATCAAGGATTTGTCTACCTCAAGAAAGCATATTGACACCCCCCCACCAACCTTCCCTGGATGCTATGCAACCTCCTAATTGGCACCTTTGCAGTGAGCTGTAGATGTAGCTCGCTAAGCTACGGGTTTGAAATCCCTTATGTTTGAGGTCTCAAACAATTTTTGGTATAGACAAAAAAAATTGTGTTGAAGCTGGATACAAAGGAACCTCTTTCAATAAGTTCTTGAATATTGTCATGAAGTCCTCCTGGATAAAATTCATGCTGAAACCATTCAACTCAGGAGCCTTGTCACCCTTACAACTCATATGAGTTCAAATCTCTTCCTTGGAAAAAGAAAACTCCAACTATGTCTGCTTCAGCTCTTCCAAAGCGTTGGACTCTGGACCATCCTGAGTAGGCTTCCATGAGAAGGCATCAGCATACAGCTCCTCAAAGTTAACTCCACCTTTTCCCTCAGTTCCCATTTCCTTTGACAACTTGGACCATTAATCTCTAACTCCTTATGGTTGCATCTTCTATGATGAGTAACCATGATGTGAAAAAATATGGTATTTTTGTCCTCTTTCTTGGCCAAATGGCCCTCAATATCTATCCCCAATCAATCTTCTCCATGAGGAACAAATTGACCAGATGAAGACAAACGTTGATCTGCCTCTTAATGTCTTCAGTAATTTGATAAGATGGAGTCTTGCTTTATGTTAGTCTTCTGAACCTTCTCTAGTTTACCCCCTGACATTTACTTAACATCCTGGGTGATATCAACTTTGCAGTTGCTTATCTTGTTATCTGATAATTAGAGTTCTGGTGGTGTACTAAGCCATTGCACAATTTAAAAGTTCTGTTTCGTATATTTATTAGAATGGATATTTGCTTTATTTTAGTCTTCCTCATTTCTTTCATCACATTAATCTCTAATTTAAACAAAACTAAATGTGGGTTATTTTGTTAGCTCAGTTACCGGATTTCCATAAAAAATGTTTGATTCCAATAGAAAATTCATTTTTAGTTATGTAACTTCGAATTTTTTACAGGAAATTGTACTGCTTCAGCCACCAAACTGGTAAACTAGAGCATCTGATGACGGTAAGTTTTGGTTGGTTGAGGCTAGGAGCATAAGAAATTAGGTTATCATGCTATATTTGTTATGCACTTCCCTCCACAAATCAAGGGAGACAACCTGGATCTAGCTACTCCTTTTCTCAAAATATTTTGGGTTTACCTCTTGTGGATTGACATACTTCCAGCAATGTTTTATAACCTTTCAGTTTCTGGCCCTTCTACGATTAGACAATATGGTAAAAACACAAAGCTTGCCACACTTTTAGTTGCAGGATGTGTTTATACAACTTGTCAGAAAAAATCTTTCTACCTATTCTACTGTATGAATGGAAACTGGAAGGGATGCTGTTGTAATTTGTTAAAGAGTTATTATTTGCCAATGTGACTATCTTGGATTTTGGTCTCATCATAGGTCCATGAAAAGGATGTAATTGGAGTCACTCATCATCCCCACAGAAATCTCATTGCTACATATGGTGAAGACTGTACCATGAAGTTATGGAAGCCTTGAATTTGTATCCGTGTAGATCACATGTTCATCCTCTTAACAAAGCAGCCGTTAGTTCTAAAGGTGCTATTCTGTTATTTATTAGATTTTTCTTAGAAGTTTTGACTTGATTTGGTGCTAGAATCTGTAAATCATTGCATCGAGCACGTACTGTTCAAACTTGCTGCCTGACAAAAAAGTAGGTTCCATTTTTTATGTAAGCTAAGGAGAGGCTGGAGGCTTGTTCTTACTCATGGCTTGAGAGAGTTGAAGAGTATATTTGCTCTGCCATCCTTTTTGTAGCCCCACTAGATGCGGATGAACCTCTATTTAAACCATTGCTGATGTTTTATTGTTATTTAGAAGCCTAAATGTTTCTTTCTTTTGTGAACTCATAGCCAGCAATTTAACTCAACGTACGCTTATAAGACTAACACCTATTAAAATAATCTGGGGCTGATTTTTTGTCATTCAGTTTTAATGAAACTATATGCTGTAAAGCAACTCTTATTTTTGTCATGAAAGTTGAACCCAATTTTTTCAATTATTTTTATTTCATATTTGTAACAGTGCGAGAGGAAAATTTAGCTCTAAATTATTCAAATATTGGTGACATTTGAGTTTATCAATCTTTTGATTTGGGATTAGTTAGTTTTATTTTTAATGGAAAAAAGATATATAACTCAGCGACAAAATGTTATTTTGATGTGGTAGAAATAATTAGTTCGAATTTGATTATTTTTAAATCTAAGGAGTATAGATTTTTCTATTTTGGCATGCTCTTCCATTGTGATTAAATAAGAAAGAATGAGAGGTTTGTGGGATTGACGTGAAGGGATATGAATGATTATACTTCTCCTGAGCAAAATTTAGATAAATATGAAAGTACATGGATGTAAGTCATGTATGGAAATAAAAGATAGTTCTTAGTTCGGTTTTTTTAATAAGGAAACTATAAGTAATGCAACTGTGGATTTTATGAAAAGTTTTTTAATTAATTAATAAAATTACTTTATAACCATTGTATTTAATTATGAATTTTTTTATTTGACTGATTAAATAATACTTTTATAAAAAATTATAAATTTTGTCCAAAAGATATATAATTTAATATATTGAGTGCGTATTAACACGATAACAAGTTTACAGTACAATTGATCTGGATATGTCCTTTATTATTACTCTTGCTGGACTTGTGAAAAATGCATGGAAGTTATATGCTATGCTGTTTATTCTCTTAACATTTCATGTTATATAATAAAAATTAATATTTTGTTTTTATATGTAAAATTTAGAATTATATTAAATAATAAATTTAATATTAAATATTTTTTTAAAATGTACGCGCAATTCGACTTTTTCTTTAGTACAAGATAGTTCAGTTTGAATCTTAATAAATAAAGAAAAAAGCTGACAGTGATTTAAATCTTGCTCGGATCCAACGGCACAGAAGTCGCCAAATTCATGCAACTCGGCTTCGCCATGCTCAAACACAATGAACATTATGCTTCCCGGCGTTCTAACTTTAACTTCAGCTTCCCCCCCTCTACCAATCGACTTTTGCCGTAGCCACGGTTGGCATCACCAGCTGCTCCATAACTGACATCTACTCAGCTGTCTCTCCCTGGTTCTAGTTCGTTGACGGCTGGGCTAGCACCACTAGCGTTGATGGAAACCTCCATTCGTCGCTTGCAGGAAAATTCGTGCCCTAGCGCAAAAGTTGAAAGTCAACATGATGGAAGAGGAAGAAAAGAGGGTTAAAGGCATACTCATTACATTAACTGTATTTTTTATTTACAAAAAGATTCATCATTAAGAATAATTGAGTAATTGGATTAAATATATTTACATTTGATTTTTTTTTATAAAAAGTAAATATTTTGATTCATATAATTTCATTATTAAATTTGGTAATCAATTAATATTTATTTTATTACTTGTATTATTAAAATTAAAATATAATATAAAGATAGATTTAATATTATCAAAATTAAGCCACATTAACATAATTTAAATCGTAATTTTAAATTATTAATAATGTAAATTTATGATTATCAGTATTCAGTAATTAATATTTAAATTTATAATATCAATATTTGTTAATTACTAAATAAACTTGTGTATAAATTTAAGAATATGTAATTTTTAAAGTTTTCTATTTCTATAGTTTTATATATAAAAATATATTAAAAAATAATATTTAAAAATATCGCATAAACTAAATTATAAGCCTCCTCCTGGGGGGTCCGAGCCCATCAGTGCACCAAAACTTTTTTGATTTGACGATTCGAAATTTAGAACTGATTAGTAATTCTATAAGTACAAGATTAATTATTTTTACTTTCTCTCCATTTAATTTTAATAAAAATTATTTATCTATTTTATTATTAATTTTTATTTTTTATTCAAAGCAGGAAATACAACTCAGATTATTAAGATTAATAAATTTATATTAAATTTAAATACTTAAAATTATTTAAAATACAAAAAAAAAACACTAAAGAAAAATTGATTAAGCTACTAAGCACCTTCCTAATCATAGATTAAATACATAAATTATTTAAAATACGCTCCTTCCTAATCATTCGTTCAATATCCCTCGCTCCAAACACAACGCGCTTGACACTTTCCTTTCCTGTTTCTCTCTTGTTCGAACTCCTCCAAAACCCTAGGCTCTGATTTTGCTTCTTCTTCTATTTGATCTTCGATTACACACGCAATCCGCTCACCCATCCATCAATGGCAGGGGAAGAAGCAGTATCGCAGTCGGTCTCTTCCTCGGCCGCGCCGTTAGGCTCGTCAGTGATTCCCATAGTCAACAAACTGCAGGACATATTCGCTCAGCTCGGGAGCCAGTCAACGATCGAGCTTCCTCAGGTGGCTGTTGTTGGTAGCCAGAGTAGCGGCAAGTCTAGCGTCCTTGAGGCTCTTGTCGGCCGCGACTTCCTTCCCCGTGGCTCCGACATCTGCACCCGCCGCCCACTCGTTCTTCAACTCCTGCAGACCAAGAGGAAGCCCGATGGCTCCGACGAGGAGTATGGAGAGTTTCTTCACCTTCCAGGCAAGCGCTTTTACGATTTCTCCGAGATTCGCAGGGAGATTCAGGTACTTCATTTCAAACAGGAGATTTGATGATTTCGAATTGCGCTTACATTTTAATGGAGTAGGGTTTACTGGTGTGGTTGTTAAACTAGTGAAAGGCATGACTTCTTGTAGCTTTCACTTTGAGTTGAGGTATATCATACTTCTCATTGCGTATTGTTTTTGGGATTTTTCCTCATCATGATCCATGACTCGATTGTACCTGAGGAATTTTCATGCGGAAGTTTGGCTTAAGGAAGAAGCGAATAAAATATAGAAATGCTATCCCCATGGATAGATTCTTTGCTCTAGTTTCTGCTAGTATAACTTGCTATATTGCCTTTTTCACTGGGTTGATGAATGCTTTGTATCTTGCTTACGTGCTACCCAGGGATGATGTGTAGATAGCACTTTGGGGATTGGTAAGGGAATGTGAGAAGAAGCTTTTTTTTTAATTGTTGTTGAATAATGTTGGTCAGGGGTATCCCTGGTTTGCATTTCATCTGGAACATAACAGAGAAATATTAGAGGAGGCAGGTTTAGATCGGTTTTTTAATTTAAGTCGTTTTTTTAATTTAAGTATTCCCGTATTATAAACTGTAATCCTCTTCCTCGCAATATGCATATGGTGAAAATATTAAATAAACAAATATTTCTTCTCGCAACAAATGTCTGCTTAAAATATCCAAAAATCTCATTTTATCCTCCATTTTGAACTTAAAGCAAAAAGTGGTCGAACTTTTACATCAGGGTTTGCATCAGTTGCATTTAGTGTAATACTAGAGTAGTTTTTTATAATGTCAATTTCATATTTCTCCTGTTATTTTCCGGAATTAATTGAACTTGCATTTAGGCTGAGACAAATAGGGAAGCAGGAGAAAACAAAGGTGTATCAGACAAGCAGATCCGGTTGAAAATATATTCACCAAATGTACTTGATATCACTCTTGTGGATCTGCCTGGCATAACAAAGGTTCCTGTGGGTGACCAGCCCTCTGATATTGAAGCACGCATTAGAACAATGATAATGTCTTACATTAAACAACCCAGTTGTCTAATTCTGGCTGTTACACCAGCAAATTCAGATCTAGCAAACTCAGATGCTTTACAAATTGCAGGAAATGCCGATCCTGATGGTATGTTCTGCTTTGTATTAGTTATGCTTGTAAGGTGTTTCAAAAGTTTGAGTCTTAATGGTAATTTTCTGGTTTCAGGTTATAGAACGATAGGCATAATCACAAAGGTGCTTGTTCCCCTGTAAATTTTGATTTCAAAATTACTATTTTCAAGTTACATCTGTGAGTACTCTTATTTTCTAAATATTTGGTGTATTTCGTGTGTGACTTCAGTTGGATATTATGGACAGAGGTACTGATGCCCGGAACTTATTGCTTGGGAAAGTAATTCCTCTCCGACTTGGTTATGTGGGTGTGGTGAATCGTAGTCAGGAGGTAAACATGTCAATGATATTTTTACCCCACGTTAATATTATATGTATTTCCCTTTTCTGTATTAAGAAATGTTTTAACCATTATCATCATCAGCATTGTATTGCGTGTTTTCTTCTTGTCTGTTTCATGACGTCATGGGACAACGTGAGAGTAGGCATAAAATGCTTTATTTGTTGAACAGATCTGAGGTATCTGTCTCAGAGCTAGATAAATGGTTATTTCTGTCATTTGATACTTGACATTCTAGCTGGAGAAGAGGAAATGTCTAATCATGGACCTGGTTTAATGAGTGCAAATTTGAAGTAACTATAGTCAATATTTTAAGTCATGAAAGTTGTTTGCAAAGTCAATTGGCCTTGAATAGCATTCCCAAAGCTTTTTTGTACTCTCTTTCTTCTTTGTGGAAAATGGAAAAGTAACTGAAGTGTGTTTATTCTATCATGTAAGATGCTTTATTTGTTACACTTGATCCATTATCATGCTCCTTTTCTAAATTCTCTTGTGCATGTACTTCTCGTTCAAGTAATTGATTTCTTCTGAAGTCTGTAAACAAGGATTATCGTCAGTGCATCTAGAATGGCACCTAAGTATGTGGGAACCTATTGGTTGCACATGCATAGGAAAATGTAGCGCAAACACCAACTTCTATTGTTGTGGGGATGTATACTGATTGTTATAGTTTTGGTTTACAAGATGCATATGACCAATAATGATAATTTATGTTTATTCCTTCTGTTTCTATATGTACATCCATCAGCCATGTTGCTATTTACTAGCATGCTAAGAAATTAACTTGCTTGTTAAATATGTGCTCTAAACAGGACATTATGCTAAACCGGAGCATCAAAGATGCTCTTATTGCTGAAGAGAAGTTCTTCCGGAGTCGTCCAGTATGACCATAACTTGCTCCTAATGATTGTTTATAACTTCTTAGTGTTTGATTCAGAAGGTGATTTATATATTTCAATGCTCTTGTAGGTATATAATGGTCTTGCTGATCGGTGTGGTGTCCCTCAATTGGCAAAGAAGTTGAACCAGGTAAATGTTTGAAATGTTGAGTCCCTGAAGTTAATCTGGACTTATGATTCTCTTAAGTTCTATGCATTCTCAAAAGAAACAAGTTGTGTTTGGCATACATGTGCATGCAATACCTCCCTAATGTTGTTATTTATCCTTTACTTTGTTGACGAACAAATTTTTTCTTTCCTATCTTTTTAGATGATTTTTTTTAATAAAAGGTATACAGTGTATTATTGATTCACAGGAAAATCCATTGATGGTGATTTATTTGAGCAATCTTGGCTCAGCTTGGATGAGTTTTAATCCTTGTTGATGGAACCATTTACGTAAATGATCAATTATTTTGTGCTACTTTGCCTTGTTAAGAGAATATCCTTCATTAATGATATTCTTTTTTCTGTCAAATTTTTTTTTTTGTTTATTTTCTCTATGTCCTTTTGAGCAAGGCTCTTGTTTCTAGTACCTTTTTGTGATGTAGAATCATTTTTGCATGTTGGACACTGGTGTTTTTTGCCAATGTCTTTACCTTGTCTTGAACTGGCTGTACGAGGAAATGAAGCATTTAGTCTCTGGCATTGCAGTATAAAATCTTTATATTGCTGATTGAATGGATGATCATTATTTTTTCTTCTTTTCAGATTCTGGTGCAACATATCAAGGCAATACTTCCTGGCCTGAAATCAAGAATAAGCAATGCGTTAGTTTCTGTAGCAAAGGAGCATGCAAGTTATGGAGAAATTACAGAATCAAAGGCATGTACCATATGTCAGGGAGTGCTATTTGGTTGAGATAACTGTTTAGTAACCAAGGATTGGGAGTTCAGCCATGGCTTTGTTTTTCCATATTTTAATGTTTAAGTATGAACAAAATCTCTTTGTTGATGATCTTTAAACTTGGGTACTTATTGCTTGAGCTTAATGGTTTTTTCTTGAATTTCCTTAGCAACAGCTTCTTGTTTTTCTCCTTTTGCTCGTCAGAAAAAAAAGTCAACAGATTTTTCTAGTTACATACAAATTTCTTTTGTTTACTGGAACTTTGCATTTATGTTTTTGAGTAATTAATTATTTATTCAATCCATCTTTAAAAGTTTACTTTCTCAGTCTTCTGGCAAATGTTCTCTTTTCATCTCTGTGCTGACTATATTAGCATATGATTTTGTAATCAATAGGCTGGTCAGGGAGCTCTGCTTTTGAATATTCTTTCAAAATACTCCGAAGGTAAATACATTATGCCTATGGTTATCCTGAGTCTATTATTGCATTGTACTATGCTGTTAGCTTTGTAAATATGTAACTATCTGTGCTCCGTCTTACTAATGATTTAGTCAAATTCTTCTTTAAAACAGCATTTTCTTCGAGGGTAGAGGGAAAGAATGATGAAATGGCAACATCTGAGCTCTCAGGAGGAGCACGGATTCATTATATTTTTCAGTTAATCTTTGTGAAAAGTTTGGAGGTGTGTTTCATTGATTCAGATAAAATTTCACTTTATTTTGTTTAATGATCAATATATAGGTGCATTGGAAGTGCTTTCAACCTGTTATAGTTGTTCCAATCATTGTGTTTGATTTTTTGCACCAATTTTCATGGGCTGGTGGCGCTAGTCTTATTGCTTTGGCTACTATTAGCATACTTAGTGTTTCTGCTATACCAGGTGATGCTCCAATTGGTTGCTACAGGGAGAGGGGAAGATACAGTATGGAAATGATTCTAACTTAAGATATTGTTTAAAAGTAACTTCTGATATTCATTCTCATTTTAGCAGTAAAAAAAAGTGCAGTGTGTTGTATAGTGGTCAACGTAGCCATTTGACAATTTTATATGCTGTTATATAGACGCATAACAGAAGGGGAAACTACTTTTTTTTTTTAAAATAAAAGAAGATAAGATAACAGAAGGGGAAACTATAAGGCCAATGATCTCAAAGTTAGGTCCTTAGCAAACTGTTATATTAATTTCCTTCCTTTTTTCCCCCCTCAAAAAATATGCAATAGGGAGGATGTTGCTTGCAGGTGTTGACCTGGGTCTCCAGTGAGGAGAGCCCTGGATCTGCCTCTAGGCCAGGTGGTATAATGAAAATTTGAAAGGTAGTCTTGCAACATTGATGTTGACAAATGTCTAGCCTTCTAATGAGTCTGGTTATGGAGTTTTACGTCATTGATTCCATGGTGAAAGTCAGGAACATTTCTAGGTCATCTGTTATACGCTTTTTCTATTGTCCTTTTCTTACAGTTGGTAAATTTACTGATACTAGTTGTATTTTTTGAAACAGTTAGTGGATACTTTTAGTTT